GCATCCTTACAGATAGGCTTACGTACAGTCAGGTGTGTAAGTTTAATGCAAATCTCCCAAAAAAAAATGAAAAAAAAAATATTTAAAAAAAAAAAAAAAAAAAAAAAAAAATTCTTAATTTTTTTTCAATTAAACTAATTATAATATTTGTTTAATATATGCTATTGTGATAGCAAAGAGTCGTAGCTATGATTTCAGTTGACACTTTTGATTGATAATCGATTTTGACCATTTTGGCATAATTTTCACAACTACTTCAATATTTTTTTTCTCCCTTCCTATTTATGCTACGATGCTGAAACTTGGACCAAATGAAACACTTTTCATATAGAACTTGTCAAAAAAGTTTGATTGAAATCGAACGAGTTTTCATTTTTGCATTTTTGGACCCAGATGCCAACCAGACGCCCCCTTAAGGGTTATCTTGAGGTTATCTTGAGATGATTTCGGGGCTTTAGTGTCCCCGCGGCCCGGTCTTCGACCAGGCCTCCACCCCCAGGAAGCAGCCCGTGACAGCTGACTAACACCCAGGTACCTATTTTACTGCTAGGTAACAGGGGCATAGGGTGAAAGAAACTCTGCCCATTGTTTCTTGCCGGCGCCCGGGATCGAACCCGGGACCACAGGATCACAAGTCCAGCGTGCTGTCCGCTCGGCCGACCGGCTCCCTTCGTAATCATAATCCTCCGATGATTACTTAACAACCCCCCCCCACGAGGTGTTTACGGATGTCTTAACGTCATAATGACGTTGTTTACCTGTAAATAAGTGACGTCACTTGTCAACCTTAAGACGCGCGACTGGCTCATATTCAAAGTCTTAAGCTCAGACTTGACGTTGGACTTAAGGCCTATTAACCGTGAGGGGGTATTGTTAAGGCTAACACAACTTCTAACTGGCCAACCAGCAAGTATACTTCAGCCCTGAACAATGTTCAAAATAAAACACTCAGTGTATATGCACAGAGAAGCAGGATACACACAGTGTATATACACAGAAGTAGTCTAACCTCTCAGTGTATATACACAGAAGTAGTCTAACCTCTCAGTGTATATACACAGAAGTAGTCTAACCTCTCAGTGTATATACACAGAAGTAGTCTGACCTCACAGTGTATATACACAGAAGTAGTCTGACCTCACAGTGTATATACACAGAAGTAGTCTAACCTCACAGTGTATATACACAGAAGTAGTCAGACCTCACAGTGTATATACACAGAAGTAGTCTAACCTCACAGTGTATATACACAGAAGTAGTCTGACCTCACAGTGTATATACACAGAAGTAGTCTGACCTCACAGTGTATATACACAGAAGTAGTCTGACCTCTCAGTGTATATACACAGAAGTAGTCTAACCTCTCAATGTATATACACAAAGAAGCAGTCTAACCTCTCAATGTATATACACAAAGAAGCAGTCTAACCTCTCAATGTATATACACACAGAAGCAGTCTAACCTCTCAATGTATATACAGAAAGAAGCAGTCTAACCTCTCAATGTATATACACACAGAAGCAGTCTAACCTCTCAATGTATATACACAAAGAAGCAGTCTAACCTCTCAATGTATATACACAAAGAAGCAGTCTAACCTCTCAATGTATATACACACAGAAGCAGTCTAACCTCTCAATGTATATACAGAAAGAAGCAGTCTAACCTCTCAATGTATATACACACAGAAGCAGTCTAACCTCTCAATGTATATACACACAGAAGCAGTCTAACCTCTCAATGTATATACAGAAAGAAGCAGTCTAACCTCTCAATGTATATACACACAGAAGCAGTCTAACCTCTCAATGTATATACACACAGAAGCAGTCTAACCTCTCAATGTATATACAGAAAGAAGCAGTCTAACCTCTCAATGTATATACACACAGAAGCAGTCTAACCTCTCAATGTATATACACACAGAAGCAGTCTAACCTCTCAATGTATATACAGAAAGAAGCAGTCTAACCTCTCAGTGTATATACACACAGAAGCAGTCTAACCTCTCAATGTATATACAGAAAGAAGCAGTCTAACCTCTCAGTGTATATACACACAGAAGCAGTCTAACCTCTCAATGTATATACACACAGAAGCAGTCTAACCTCTCAATGTATATACACACAGAAGCAGTCTAACCTCTCAATGTATATACACACAGAAGCAGTCTAACCTCTCAGTGTATATACACACAGAAGCAGTCTAACCTCTCAATGTATATACACACAGAAGCAGTCTAACCTCTCAGTATATATGCACCGAGGAGCCAATTATAGGTCACAATGTTACCAGCACCTTTACAAAACTCCTCAAGTCCTATGTACTAACAACCTTGAAAACCACAGTAGACATCGTGAAGGAAAAAACGACAATCAATAAAAACAAAATACTTTATTTCCAGAATAACTATTAACTAAAGGAACTAATAACTAAAGGAACTAATAACTATTAACTAAAGGAACTATTAACTAAAGGAACTAATAACTATTAACTAAAGGAACTAATAACTAAAGGAACTAATAACTAAAGGAACTAATAACTATTAACTAAAGGAACTAATAACTAAAGGAACTAATAACTATTAACTAAAGGAACTATTAACTAAAGGAACTATTAACTAAAGGAACTAATAACTAAAGGAACTAATAACTATTAACTAAAGGAACTATTAACTAAAGGAACTAATAACTATTAACTAAAGGAACTATTAACTAAAGGAACTAATAACTATTAACTAAAGGAACGGTCTCAGCTTCCCCGTTATGGAATCGACGCTTGGAAACAGATTACAAGTCACGGTCTAAGTATCAAAGCATTTCATCCTTAACTAAGACTTAACAGCCAAACAGAAATATTGGAGCATCGTGAAAATGCTTCAGTTCTATCAGAATAATACCAGACAGACTTAAAACAGAGCGTGATATGCAATCCTTGGAAATGTTATCGTTCTGTTCTGTAACAAATTAAAGTTATCTTAATTTAGTTATCTCAACACTTAAATCCTAAGCATCTACTCTGCTTTCTTTAAGTGTTTTTAATCTCTTATACAAGGCACGTTCCTGGCCTTACATACAAGTTATAATTAATTTATTGTGTCGGGGACAGGCAGCCAGAGTGTATTCACACACTTTAGGCTTATATCTAGGTCCCTCCTCCCCCTTAAGGTCGAACTACTGACCCTCGTCCAGGATGTGACACCCACAACAAGCTGACTAACCCCTAGGTACGTGCTTGCTGCTAGGTGAACAGGTGCATTAGGTGATAGGAAATACGCCCACTTATTTATTGATGACAAACAAGGTCTACCTGCCAGGGCCTCTGTCAGAATCGTTAGAGGTACCTGGGGCGATCTTTGGCAAGCCGCCGTCTTCCTGTCCTCATCGAGGTCACTAGAGTGACCCTCAGGTAAATTTAGGTAAATTCCAGTCGAAATTGTCGACTGTAATCACCATAGAAAACGTTTGCCTGTACGTGGCTGGACGTACAGGAACGCAGGGGGGACTACCCTAACACCCCTCTGTCATCTACCTCTACCATCTACCTCAGACCCACCAACCTTGCCGTGTCGCACAGGTCACCCTGGAGGCTTCTACATACCTTGACTGCAGCGCGGAGAGCAGTCTTCAGGGCGGCGAATTCGTCTCTGGGTCAGACGGAAAATATGCTAGTAGCCTGAACGCGGACGCCATGGTTTGTTGACAAACTGTCTGGGGTCACCACTTTAGTGTCCCAATATCCACCAAACAAGGGTTAAGCAAGTCACTAATTATCACACACATAAATATACTAAAACTGTACAGACTAGAGGAGGGAGTGAGAGTCTATCTGCTTGTAGCTCCCCCTCGCTAGTCGGTCGCTTCCCTCCTCTCTCGCTGCCGTTTTCTCTGATCACCGTCGTGTTGTAAGGGGGACTGAAGTCATTATATATTCATTGATATATATATACACTTTACATATGTGGCCAGCTGCGTAATGCTTTATATATGTGGCCAGCTGTGTAACGCCTAATATATGTGGCCGGCTGTGTAACACCTTGCATATGGTTGATTGATGAGATGTCTCGGTCAGAACATCAGGTGATGTTAGTGACAATATTAAAACGATCAGTTGATTCTCGATGTACCGAGCCCCACAGTTCATTTATGTAAATAAGTAACAATCTTGTAACAATCTTTACAATTTAACAATCTTTACAAGATTGTTACTTGCTTAGCTTAACGAACCATGGGTTCAGTTCCTGAACCCATTGTGTGCCTCTGTAGCCCTTTCCACCACCCGCACGAGATGGGTATGTGGTCCACCACCGCCCACGGGATGGGTATGGGGTCCACCACCCGCACGGGATGGGTATGTGGTCCACCACCCGCACGGGATGGGTATGTGGTCCACCACCGCCCACGGGATGGGTGTGGGGTCCACCACCCGCACGGGATGGGTATGTGGTCCACCACCGCCCACGGGATGGGAATGGGGTTCACCACCGCCCACGGGATGGGTATGGGGTTCACCACCGCCCACGGGATGGGTATGGGTTCCACCTCCGCCCACGGGATGGGTATGGGGTCCACCACCGCCCACGGGATGGTTATGGGGTCCACCACCATCCACGGGATGGGTATGGGGTCCACCACCACCCACGGGATGGGTATGGGGGTCCACCACCACCCACGGGATGGGTATGGGGGTCCACCACCACCCACGGGATGGGTATGGGGTCCACCACCACCCACGGGATGGGTATGGGGGTCCACCACCGCCCACGGGATGGGTATGGGCTCCACCACCACCCACGGGATGGGTATGGGGTCCACCACCGCCCACGGGATGGGTATGGGGTCCACCACCGCCCACGGGATGGGTATGGGGGTCCACCACCGCCCACGGGATGGGTATGGGGGTCCACCACCGCCCACGGGATGATTATGGGATGTATAATAAATGACTAAACTAACTGTATTTTATTGCGGTGACTCTTTTGTGGGCAATAAAAATTCTCTGTGTCTTAAAGTTTATTTTTTAGCGAGGAAGTAAACTTTCCAACCAGAGGCAGATGACTCGGTGACAAAGCAACGAACACCTATGAACCACAGAGTTCATCCTGACCTAATACAGTAGTTCTAAACACTCAGCACATAGCAGGATAATATATATATATATGAGAATCAATCAGCTGCAGAGTTCAGCACATTCTGTAACCGAATTGTAGCCAATGAGAGAGAGAGAAACACTAGGTTACATATTTACGTTATTGAGGATGACACGGCGCCTGCAAGGACCTGATCAAATCTAACAATTGAATCTAGAGTTATAGTATGTATATAAAGTCTTCTCATTACTAGTTGGTTCTCTGGTACCAAAGTTTTCTAACTGAATCTGCGACAGAGTGACATAGTGATCTTGTCCACTGCTCCAGCGCCTAAAGACTTCTCCTTCACCCTGGCGTGGGTCTGGTTAAACTCTGAATAAATAAAACAGCGTTTTCGCACAATTGGATCCTCTAGGTTGGGGGAAGGGGGATGAGGGTTGGGGAAAGTTGAAATAAATCCCCAAAATGGACAGATAACGTCATTGTTGGGGACATGGCGAGATTTAGCATTGGGTTTAAACCCCTTCCCTCCACGACAGCCTATGATTCGAGCCCTATCTAAACCTACAGGTAAATGTTCACTTCATTAACAACTGTCTTCTCATGTTTCCTCTCCTCATTATGCTCCACGAAGCCGGCGTTCGTCGTCCCCTTTGAAGATTTTTTCATAGAGTCCTTAAGGAGCCTCTTGTTCACGCCGGGTCCTGCAAGTGTGAAGATGGTTTCTGTTAGCTCATATTCCTTCCACACGTTAGGTTAGGTTAAGTTAGGTTAGGTTAGGTTAGGTTAAGTTAGGTTAGGTTAGGTTAGGTGTTGCCTCGCATGGACTACGAGGCACTTTGACTCCTGCAGTTTCCTTTCTTCCAATAATTGCTATTGAACTTTGGCGATGCGGAACAGATGTGAACCAGGAATCATCAAGTAGTTATGCAACCCCTGACGAAACCTGTATATATCTCTTCAATCACGGTGGCTTTGTTTACATATGTTAAATAGTTTACGAAATTGGAACTTCACAACCCGAGGCTATTACTGTTATAACAATGATTAAGGAAAGATATAGAGCTTTGGTAAGAGGTTGTGTAAATGGTTGAATAATCCTGACCAGAGTCGCCGCACTGAGTGAACATTGGCACGTTTCATGCCTTCGTTAGACATACATTTGAGGGAGAATGTCTCAATCTAAAAAATATAATGATGTCTATAGTTTAGGCAAATATATATTTTGTAATTCACTTGTTTTTCTCTATGTCTCTGTTTCTCTGTCTCTCTCTCCTCCCCCTTACCACAGATTGAGAGGAAGACAGGAAGAAAGACGAGGCCGTGGAAGGCGCCGAAGACGATCATCCCGAGATACATCCTGAAGTAGAAGACCCGGAAAATCTGCGACTGGGCAAAGGCGAGTACAATGATCCCGAAGAACTTGGTGAGGGTGATGCCGGAGAGTACCTGGGAGAGGTGAAACAAAGAGAGAATGGTGAGGGAAGAGGTGAGATACTCATATAAACATGAAACATCTCACTTCCTGATCGGCCAAAAGTACTCAAAGAGTTTCCCCAAGATGTTTCCTAAGACCCTTACCGAGGAACCCATGTTGGCAAGGGCTTCCCTCGCTCGTTCCACCCTCGACGGCCTGATGGAGGTGGCGAAGGCGTGGGTGACGTGGCTGCAGAACTCTACGGAGATCCCCACCGCCTGTAGGAGGAGGAGGTTCGGTTATTTGAGCAAGCCGCACAGCGGTCGTCGGATATAAGCCACTGGATATTGGCGTTTCTCAGGCGCCAGCGGGTATATTGAGCATTATTATGTGTTTATTCTTTGTGTATACTCACCAGGCACTCACTATCACAACATACTCACCATCACCGGGCACTCACTATCACAACATACTCAACATCACCAGGTTCTCACTATCACAGCTTACTTACTGTCACCAGGTACTCACTATCACAACATACCATCAACAGGTACTCACTATCACAACATACTCACCATCACTGGGCACTCACTATCACAACATACTCACCATCACCAGGCACTCACTATCACAACATACTCACCATCACCAGGTACTCACTATCACAACATACTCACCATCACCAGGTTGACGAGTGACACAGCATTTAGAGAGATGTTCCACCAATACATCATCCCCATCATGTCGATGATGATCATGCAGATGGTGACGAGGATGATGAGGGAAGAGACCAGGTCAAGGGTCAAGATGAACATGACTGCGAACACTGAACCAACTGAGATGGCGAGGTTGATTCCAGTGTCACGCCACATGGTCAGGTACTGCTCGTAGAAGACGTAGAAGATGCTGCAGAAGAAGGTAGGAGATGAATAAGATGCTGCAGGAGGTGGGAGATGAGTTTAGGAAGAATGAGAGATCAAGAGAGAAACAAAAACTAGAGGGTTGGGAGTTACAACACAAGGCGCTCAGCCAGTAGCATTTATTCACGGTTGGAACATGTTCTCTCAATAAGTGATATTCGAGAAATCTAGTTAATTGAAATGTTCTGGTTGCAGCATCGTCTTGTATAAAGTACAGCTTATTTTTAAACAAAGTATTCATCTATTAAAAACTTCATAATAACTGGATCTGTTTCCAGGAGGACTCTTCAAAATGCACTAATGTAGGAAAATAGATCTTAGCTCAGCCCGTTCTCTAGAGCGTTCAAGTGAACATGTTGAACCTCTCTATAAAGTGGCATCAGATCCTAGATGAGTCCAAGATGAGCTGTGTTGCTGCTCTGGACTTTGTTGGTACATAGACCAGAACTTGAACTACCTTTAAGGAAGTCTTAATACGGTGCCAGTATACCACAAGGCGGTGTGCTTGGCATCTTGTTGTGGAATGTCTATTTCAACTATCATCTAAACTTCATCCGTGAAGCGCAAGTCTAAACTTACGACTACATTCTGACCTTTGCAAATATATGAGAAAATGCCAACTGCTCTGAGGTTCATTAGTCACTTTGCAGCAAAATATATATATAGAGGCTAGTTAATAGACTATATTTGGGGTTGAGAAAACACATGGGTTGATACAAACAGAACAAGATGATGTTATAGCTGGAACAAGCATGCATGACATTAATTAGGTGCTCACCATGATGCTGACATCTTAAGTGATGCCTTTAACTCCTCAATGACTATGAAAAACTTTATACTAGTCCTAGCAAGCAAAGGAGGTAGCCAAGAAACATGCAGGACTGGATCATATCTCATGGCCTGTCTCCATACATGTATAAAGTAGAGAAGCGTGAAGGACGACTCATCTTTTATCTTGACACTTCCTGGCTGGGCGGATCAGCGTGTCAGGATCCTAAGTGCCAGCGAGACGTTGATGGAATTATTATTTTGTGTAAGACCAATTATCTCAAGATTCCCCTTCCGGCTATGTAGTCAGCCGGAAGCTGGTGGCCACAGCAATATGTAGAGGATGAGTCACAATAACGTGGCTGAAGATATGATGACCAGACCACACACTAGAAGGTGAAGGGACGACGACGTTTCGGTCCGTCCTGAACCATTTTCAGGACGTATGAGATACAAGACTTGATAATTGGTCCAGGACGGACCGAAACGTCGTCGTTTTTCCATCTTCTCATGTGTGGTTTGGTCATCAACCACAACAATAGACACTGTACTATGCAAATAAAAGCCTCGTGCTGGCTGTGTCATTCTCATAAACAACACTATCACTGATCAACCGTTCCTCGGCTGACTCCCTTTTGGTACATTCTCTTAACAGCCAGACACTCGTGAAATCCACCCCACCGACCATATGAAGGTTCAGATACACAGTTGCCTCCAGTACCACCACATGCCTGGTGTGAGTGCAGCTAAACAATAAACAAAGTCCACACCTACCAAAACAATAATAATCTCATTAAATACAGTACCTGTAGTTCAGTTTCAAGTGTCATGTTAAGAAATACATTTCAGTTGGATAACAGTTCTTAGCCTACAGTTTCGTTTAGGAACATAAGTACTATTTCTTCAGAGCAGTCTTAGTTTAAAGAAGAAGGTTAGGGTTGGGCAAGTACCAACCTGTAAGGAACAACTTCAATTTCCTTGGAATAAGTTGAGTTCGCCTGGAGGTAAGCTGTCATATAGTCTGAAAGCTTGTATGCCCAGTCCAAGGCACCGATGAAGTCCGCCGAGGTTCTGAGAATGGTGTGGTAAGTCATGAAATAGTTGGCCCCCACGTAACTCTCGTAGCCGTCGTCCAGGACCTTGACCGCCTCTCCGTAGGCGGGATGCCCAGCGAAGGGGCAGGCCGTACCGTGTGGGTTGTCGCTTAGGTAGTCGTTGAGATGAGTCATAAAGTTCTCTGGTTTGGGCCGGTGGTTCTCGAAGTCTTCCTTTTGGAAGCAGGTGTCGATGCCGCTGAAATCGAACTGTGCTGGAAGTGTGAGACTTGTGTTTAATGTGTGCAGCAGACTCTGACCCAAGAACGTTAGTCTCCATCACACCATATCTAAACTTCTGTTAATAACATGCCAATTATTATAACAATTAATTTATACTGTTCAAAGCTCTGCTAACTGTATTTTGGAGAGATTTTGGGTGCAAATGGCATCAACCAATAATTGGGCCAATATGCTAGTACACTAACAATTCTCTCATTGTTTAACAAATCAAAATTAGTATATAATCATTGTTAAATAGTCCGAGAGCTATTACTATTATTTCTATTACTGGGGTTATTTCTTTACTAAGTCTCACAATGTAAGACTCAACATCAGTAGCCTCAAGCATGAGACTGTCATCCCAAGTTCTGACACATTGCTTAAGTACGCCTACTACGGTTTCATTTATTTTTACGTAATTATAATTCGCCTACAGAGTCATGTAATGTGACCAGCTTAGCTTAAGGAATCCATCGGGGTACACAGCCGTGGTACCTGGGATTGATACACACGACTCCTGCAGTGGAAATACCTGAGGTGTTGACGTAGAGGCCGTCTTTATCAAGCCTACAGCAGGCGCTCATAGTCGACCCAGTGCCGACGGAGTCCTCAAGCCAGGAGAAGTACGGTCCCAGCCAAGACATGGCCCCGGAGGCTAGGTAGGTACTGTCGGGATAGACAGTGACAGTTATATTTAGTACAAGAGGAAGTTCCTTGTTGGAGGAGACGGTGTTTCCGTCAAGTGAGGAACCGTGTGAGGGGCAACATGGAAGGGTTAGTTCAACAGTAAAGTCTTAGTGAAAACAACAGTGGAAGTAATGAAGGAGAGGGCAAAATACCTGCCCTGTGCTAGTCGCTTTCAGAGTTGACAGTTTATATACCTTACTATTCATTTTAAGTCGCCTGTGATGTCTTTAGAATTGATTAATAACCAATATTAGAAAAATAATGTAAAGCAAGCCTCTCTCTTACTTAACTGACATTCCACTAGCTTAATATCAATCCCCCAAGACCGAACAAGCAGATTTGAGGGCGACTCCAACTTAAGGGGAAATTCATACAGTTTTACATACGATTACAAGGAAGAAGACATGGCAACATGTGATAATGAGAAACGAGATGTCCAACATACACAATGACGCGGAACAAGAGGTGGCAACACAACACACAATGACGAGGAACAAGCGGTGGCAACACACAATGACAAGGAACAAGAGGTGGCAACACACACACAAAGACGAGGAACAAGAGGTGGCAACACACACACAATGACGAGGAACAAGTGGTGGCAACACACATAGTGACGAGGAACAAGAGATGGCAACACACAATGACGAGGAACAAGAGATGGCAACACACACACACAATGACGAGGAAAAAGCGGTGGCAACACACAATGACGAGGAACAAGAGGTGGCCACACACACACAATGACGAGGAACAAGTGGTGGCAACACACATAGTGACGAGGAACAAGAGATGGCAACACACAATGACGAGGAACAAGAGATGGCAACACACACACACAATGACGAGGAACAAGAGGTGGCCACACACACACAATGACGAGGAACAAGTGGTGGCAACACACATAGTGACGAGGAACAAGAGATGGCAACACACAATGACGAGGAACAAGAGATGGCAACACACACACACAATGACGAGGAACAAGAGGTGGCAACACACACACAATGACGAGGAACAAGAGGTGGCAACACACACACAATGACGAGGAACAAGTGGTGGCAACACACACACAATGACGAGGAACAAGAGGTGGCAACACACACACAATGACGAGGAACAAGTGGTGGCAACACACATAGTGACGAGGAACAAGAGATGGCAACACACAATGACGAGGAACAAGAGATGGCAACACACACAATGACACGGAACAAGAGATGGCAACACACACACAATGATGAGGAACAAGCGGTGGCAACACACATACAAAGACAAGGAACAAGAGATGGCAACACACAGTGATGAGGAACAAGAGATGGCAACACACACACACACAAAATGACGAGGAACAAGAGATGGCAACACACACACAAAATGACGAGGAACAAGCGGTGGCAACACACACACACAATGATGAGGAACAAGCGGTGGCAACGCACACACAATGACGAGGAACAAGAGATGGCAACACACACACACAATGACGAGGAACAAGAGATGGCAACACACACACACACACAATGACGAGGAACAAGTGGTGGCAACACACACACACGCAATGACACGGAACAAGAGATGGCAACACACATAGTGACGAGGAACAAGAGATGGCAACACACACACACACGCAATGACACGGAACAAGAGATGGCAACACACACACACAATGACGAGGAACAAGCGGTGGCAACACACATACACAAAGACGAGGAACAAGAGATGGCAACACACACACACAATGACGAGGAACAAGAGATGGCAACACACATACACAATGACGAGGAACAAGAGATGGCAACACACACACACAATGACGAGGAACAAGAGATGGCAACACACACACAATGACGAGGAACAAGAGATGGCAACACACACACACAAAATGACGAGGAACCAGTGGTGGCAACACACACACACAATGACGAGGAACAAGAGATGGCAACACACACACAATGACGAGGAACAAGAGATGGCAACACACACACACAAAATGACGAGGAACCAGCGGTGGCAACACACACACACACACACAATGACGAGGAACAAGAGATGGCAACATACTCGTTGGGCTGGAGGGATGACAAGAAGATCTGCTGCGTGATGGAGTCGTTGTAACAGCCTGACACCTGACACACCAAATTCTGCTCGTGGACGTCGCTAAAGTTATATCCCTCCTTCATGACGAAGTAGACAGGTGGCCCGACAGACAGGTAATCGTTCAGAAACTGTTAAAAGAGACGGAGTAAGGAGGATATTGACATCGAGAGACTGGGAGCTTCACGTCATTCGTCAGTCGTGAATACAATGAAGACGCTGCTCGTCTTCAGTGGCTTTTTTGACGAATTGTTAAGCCGTTCTTACTTCCCACTTTCCCTCTCTACCATTCTTAACCTGTGATTCATTCCTCTGTCTCCACTATTCTTGCCTTCATTCCTCACCATCTTCCTCCACCTCCTTCACATCAACAATCTCCACCAGTTTGTCGCATACAACACACCTCTCACCCACCTCACACAATACACCACTCACCACCCTCATACAACACCCCACCTCACCACATGCAACACCCCACCTCACCCCATACAACCCCTCCCCTCTCACCTTGAAGTACTTGATCACATAAGAGTCCTGAGGCATTGAGAGGTCCTGCTCCAGACCCACCGAGAGCTTGGGGGTGACGGAGAGGGAGGCACAAAACACCCCGAGGGACAGTAGACACACCACCACCCTCACCACGTCCTGGAGGGCAAGGCAATAGGTAAGGTGGTTAGGAAGGCAGGCTATAGGTAAGATGGTTAGGAAGGCAGGCTATAGGTAAGGTGGTTATAGCTAAGGGAGTAAAGCAGATAATATTAAAGCAGGGTTAGAATTATAGACATTATTTGTTGTTAAATATAGTATAATTATTACTAAAATTATAATTATTATTATAACTCAAAGAAAATGGGGGTGTTGGAGGCTGGCTGCCGGGGTGACTATGCTAACAGGAACACCTACCTTGAGAATGAAAGGAGCGTAGACATACTGGAAGATCTGGTAGCAAATGGAGGAGTTCTCACTCCGCTTGCTACTCTTGCTGCCCTTGACACAACACACGACGTCCCAGCGGTGGTCCTGGCGCCACAAGAAAGTTTTAAAGGTCTGCTGTAGGTGCGAGAGATTTACGCTACACGAAAACTTTTTGGGCAACAGCTTTATTTGGAAGCGGAAAGCTCTTTGGCGATTATTGCAGGCAGGCAATTGGACAATAAATTGTATATGATAAAATGGTCTTTTGTGAAAATATTTAGAGCAAAATACAATAGTTTGACCTGACCTCGTGTTGTTATAACTTAGGAGAATAATGGCCCATTGTAAAATGAGTTATTATCAGATAACTGATAATAATCAGTCAGATAACTGATATTATCAGATAACTGATAATAATATTAACAAAGAACTTTGTGATATTCTAAATAAGTTCTATATTCTAATTCTATTCTAATATTCTAAATATTCTAAATATTCCTTTTTATTTACTAAAGAACCTTATATTTTACCTGTAGCTGAACAAATCTACGTAGGTGGTGTGGACTATTTTGTTTGGCTATTAAAATGAACGCAAGACTGGCAGATGCGGTTAATGCTGACAAATGGAGGATTCTGAATTTAGGTGATGTTAATACAGCAAGTGGAGATGGGATTAACCGTGATTTTAACCCAAAAGCTCAATGTATAAATGTTCAAAATAATACAAGTAGGATACTGTGATTCACATTTAGAAGCGTTAACAATGGCATTTGATATTTGTTCAGCTTTACTGTGCCCATGTGAGGCCCCATATAGATTATGCAGTGGAGTTTTGGGCCCCGTACTATGCAATGAACTTAAGTTCACATGTAAATAGAAGGATAACAGACGTTAATCCCAGGAATTAATCCCTTGACCTCAAGTTCAATTTAAGTTCAAGTATGTTTATTGAGACAAGAAAAAAATACATCTCAAAGGGATAGAGTAGCTTAGGCTATTTGTACCCACCGACCCTTGACCTCACCTCAACTCTGCGGGCGTCGAGGGACATGAGTGCCACAAAGCAGGTCATTTGAAGGATGAAGTCGATAACGAGTGCCAGGGCGGCGTAGAGAGAGAAGGCGTACACGGCCGGCATGTCCGACAACGCTCCTGTGGCGACGCAATACACTCAATTGATCTCTAATGAATAAGTCAATGCAACATTTAATGAATCAAAATAAAAGTTAGAACAAATACCAGAGAATTTCAGGATCCTGATTTACGAAGTAGTTACGCAAGCACTTACGAACGTGTACATCTTTCCTCAATCTTTGACGGCTTTGGTTACATTTATTAAACAGTTTACAAGCATGAAAACTTACCAATCAACTGTTGTTATTGTTATAAACAGCCTCCTGGTGCTTCGGAGCTCATTAACTGTTTAATAATTGTAAACAAAGATGCCAAAGATTGAGAAAAGATGTACAGGTTCATAAGTCCTTGTGTATCTGCTTCGTGAATCCGGGTCCAGATAACAAACAAAAAAGAATTCTTGGTGTTGGCTCTGGTGAGACTTGGGAGAGGATTCATGTCGTTTAAAGCCTTTGACGCTCATAACCTTGAAAGCTTCGGAAGACTCACTAACCGAGGAAGAAGCAGAGAGCCTCAGCTGAGGTCGAGAGTAACATGGAGGGAGCCACTTCGCCCACAACACGCCCCACATGCTCCTCGAGGCTCTCATCGTCTCTCCGGGGCTCCCTCTGCCACGTCTGCACCAGGATGAAGATGTTGTCGACGCCCACCGCCAGCACCAGGAACGGTATCACCTGTACCACGGGGAGCAATCGTTAGCCTCACTCAAGAAGAGAATTGTTGTCAGTCACTGAACCCCGAGTTCAGACGTCGGTCGTAATAGGACTGCAATCTGGTTCATTGATTACAAAGTGAAATTCAAGTGGATTCCGTTTCATGTTTGGTGGGACTGGGTGGTTATAAATAGGAGCTGCCTCGTATGGACCATTTACAGGCTCACCATAGCTCGTGCTACATGGACACTTCGTTCCGAGTAGCTAAATCTAAAACAGCAACAACGTATGGGCCCATAGGCCTTCTACAGTTACCTTTATTCTTATATTCTTATGTTGGAATAGTGCTCAACGAGGTGGCGAAGACTTGGCCAAACACGCCAAATCAAAACCACAAGTTGACATTGAATGTGTTTTAACAAAGAGACAAATAAGAAGCAAAATTAAAGATATAGTCAGGCACGAACAGAAGTGGCGAGGAGAGGTATAATGTATGAGGGAAGTGAAACCATGCAACACTACAGGTGTGTGAGTCAAAACACACATTTCACTTATGGCAAAAGGAGAAATGCTTGGAGTGACTGTGCACATGCGGCTCAGGCTTGGGTATAAATATTACTGGGAATATGAAATAGGTGTTAATGAAAATGACACCAAGTGTAAACTATGTAGTATGTTAAGGTCTCACATCCCTCACCCATTATGTTCTTGATTGCCTGTTGATTAATGTATGTAGAAACACAGGGATAAGGACTGTTCCTGAACAAATAGCCTGGATGTGTCACAACGGAAAGATTGATGATATTCTGGAGAGATATAAGAATTTTGTACCAAGATTGTAAATTTGTTGACTTGTCTGAATGTCTATTGCAAATTGTCTGTGTACCTAGTCAAAAATATATGTGTGTGTGTACGTCTGGAATGTATATGTGTATCACTCAGAATATTCGGTAATGTGTTTATTGTTTGTGATGTGTCTAAATATATATATATATATATATATATATATATATATATATATATATATATATATATATATATATATATATATATATATATATATATATATATATATATATATATATATATATATATGAACACGTTGTACTGAACGGGGTGAGAATAGCTTGAGCTACCTCATTCCTTTGTGTCTATTTTTACCTCAATAAACTTATTTAAATTTGAATTTAACTCGTTCAGTAGTGTTGATGAGTGACCTGAGTTGAGTAGTCGAGGACAAACATAGGGAAGGCACTACCCTCTGTTGTGTTGGTTGCTGTGAGAGAGAAGTTTAGAGTCGTTTTGTGAGTGAACCGGTTATGGTTCCAGGGGGTTCTGTGTGAGCGAGTGAATGAGTCAGTGAGTGAGTGTACTCACCTCAATAACGAAGAGTGTGGCCGGGACACCAGTGTAGCCGTAGAACCCGAGGGAGGCCAGGACGGAGAACATAACTAACACCACCCCACCCAGAGCCAGGGTCATCTTGCTGTCGATCTGAAACACAGGAATTATTAGCGTCCCTCCAGTAACACACACACACACACTGGGGCCGAGAGGCAGAGTGGACAGCGCTCTAGACTCTTAGACCTAGGGACTGGGGTTCGATCCCTGCACCCAGTGGAGACAGATGGGCAGAGTTTCCTTAACCCTGATGCCCCTGTTACCTAGCAGTAAATAGGTACCTGGGAGTTAGACAGCTGCTGCGGGCTGCTTCCTGGGGGGATGTGTATTTAGAGGAAAAAAATAGTAGTTAGTAACAGTTGATTAATTGACAGTTGAGAGGCGGGATGAAAGAGCAGAGCTCAACCCCTGCAAACACAACCAGGTGAATACACTCACCAGGAGCCTGCGGCACTCTGAGGACACATTCCCGAGAGAGAGAGTGATGTAGATGAACATTATGAGATAGCTGACGAAGATGGTGAGGACATCGTTGACACTCTCCCTCACCAGCTCGTCCTGGATGGACCGTTCTGTGCTGTACGCGATGTCCATCCCTCCTGTGAGCTCCTCGTCCTCAACCGCCTCCTTCATGAACTCCAGAAACCTGTCAGGAGAAAACTGCAATGAAATCAAGCTATAATTGCTATGACAGTAAGAGACACAGTAGCTATCATGGCAAAGAAGTGTGGCCATAGCAAGAGCACAGCTATATACATGCAGCCTTGTGTTTCGAAGATTTTTCTCTCTCTATTCACTATCTTCCTACTTCCCACTCCCTAAAGGTTATGGGATCAGTCGGCCAAGCTGCCTGGCACCCAGGCAGCCCAAAAATATCACCTGGTGTAAAACATTATCTAATGATTTTGCTATCACCTTCTCTACGAGTAACATGAGCTCATCAGGGCTCAGAGAGGGTGCCTCTTGAACACATGCTTTGAACAGTTTCCTAAGTAGGCATTCTGTTATGTCAAGAGAAGTGCAAACAGGATCCAAATAAACATTATCTAAAACTATTCCTCGACTTCCAGAAAGGATCTTACACCCGATGTCTGAGATCCTCTTTTTCAGTTCCCATGCCTTAAAGACCCAACTTTGGCTTCTACAGTTTCTGGCAGTGTAGCGCACGGTCAAGCCGGATCGAACCTTACTGAAAGGGTATCACAGACAGTCACTCGACTCCACAGTAAGCGTGGTCCTACAGTCACTTGTTCCACTCCTTAGCTCTGATAACTGCCTTTCATCCAGTTGACGATTGTCTGCTCTCATCCTACACATTTCAGTATAACATATCTGATCACGTGAGAGCCTGGGCTCTTACTGAATACTGCATAACATAGGCTTATATGGATATAAAGATATTTGTCTCCGACTTGCATCGTGTAAATATCTGTTCCGGTATGTTAACACTGAATGATTCCATGAAGCAATTCCATGAAACTAGCACTGGCAAACAATTATGACAATTTCAGGCCAATTGCCTTTCAAATTGGTGCTTTAATGTGTTTTCCCCTGATTCCCTTTTCAGACAGATTCTCTGTCTGCAGAACAGACAGAGAATCTGTCTGCTCTGCAGTGAATGTTCCTGGTCAGTCAAAGCACAAATGTTTCTCCCCGATTTGAAGCAGAGGCAGTGCTCCCATATAACACACAGCAGACAATAGTTACTTAACAGTGTCAAAGATACTAGCCTTTTCTCCAACAGCCGAGAGCAGAGAAGATACTGACACTGTCTTCAACTAGCAGACAATGCAAGAGCAACTTAAGTTTTCTCCCTCAGACACTTTAACACTTTCGCTCGGGGATGACGCAGCATTGCGTCATCCGTTTACTGGCGGTAATGCCGGGGATGACGCAGCATTGCGTCATCCACTTTAAAAATTCGCCAAAAATCAGGTTTTTATCCGATTTTTTGGGGACTGGTTTTAAAATGTGCGCCGATGTCTTCCCATTTTCTTTGTTGAGCCTCGTCGCCCTCAGGCTGCTTGGCACACGCCGTGGGCCCATTGTCTTTGCTCCACTGTTGTGACCAATGTCGCTTCCCCTCGCATCTCAAACGTGTGAACATTTCGGCTATTTTCCGTGGCTATATTTCTTACTGCGGCTTTAGAAACTATCTACGCTTACTCCACGATGGATAGTAATCATGAACAAGGCCCTTCCAGGAAGAAAATTGCGAAAGAAAGGCTTGAAAAGGGTAGGAATTGGGAGTGTAGCAGGAAGGCCTCTGAGCACTCACTCACGGCTAACACGTGGCCCGTCTTCAACTCGTCGGCGGTTGGAGCGTGACCAGGTTTTTTTTTTTATAGGCTAATGTTCCTCTAGAGAATTTTATTACGAACCCATTGAGACCAAAATGAAAGACCTAGGACAAAAATTGAGGTGACCAGAGTGAAAATAGTGAAAACATTTTATCCCGTTTGCGCGCTCCCGGGTAACTCGTTCGCACTTTCTCTGTTTGCTGCGGGTAATTAGCCGGGCTTTTGGAGTTTATATGCATTTAGTGCTGTAGAGAATTTTATTGCGAACACAATGATACCAAATTTAATCTCGTAGAAGGAGAATTGAGGTGACAAAGTTGAAGAGAGTATACACTTTTCGGAATTAACGCGCGCTTCCGTGACACTCTGGGGCCCATATCGCCCTGTCGAGGGGTGGCGCGCGGGGTGAGCGAAAGTGTTAATAAACTAATCAAGTACAGTATTGGCATCATTGAAAAATCGCTAAGGCTAAAACAAATTAACAAATCATGAGGGATATGCTACACAATGGAATAAAATTTAATAAGCCTTCAAGAGCCTTCCAAGACGAGTTTAAGCATCCATTAAGGAAATGACAAGACTCCAGGAGTCCCCCCCTAACAAGAGCCTAATATAAGACAAATGCAAGTGACCCACGAAAATGGGTCACATGCGTGCAATTCATCCAAGAAAAATGATTGCAAATCCATGAGATTTCCAGAACGGGAACCTACCGTGAGGGTATCGCAATGTCGGAAACTTTCTAACGTCCCACTGTCGAAAGAGCAAATGAACCCGCAGTAGAGGGGAACTTAGAACTCACTTGACACAGTCGACAAAGTGTTTTACGTAAGTGCCGTCAGCGACGTCATGGTTGAGGAGCTCAGCGTCGTTCTGCCAGTAGTTTAGGACACTTTGGATCAAACAGTCTGTTTCTACAGGCGCCATTGGTTTCACACACACGTCATTCAGGGTGATGTTCTCCTCGCCGTTATAACCCACCAGCTAAAGCAAAGAAGAGAACTTTCTGTTATATGGCGGTGATTAACTTCAACAGTCTGCCACTGAGGACAGTTTGTTGAACATTCTGCCACTGAGGACAGAGTTAAACTGTCTGTTACTGAAGACAGAGTTATTTGAACATTCCACTATTGAGGACAGAGTAAATTGAACATTCCACCTTAGAGGATAATAAGCGATGGTTTAACGGTCTATCATAAAAGTAAAACGTTATTAGAGCTATCAACCAATGAAGGGGGTATGAAGTAGGCTGAGCAAGATTTACAAGCACGGAGAAGCGAAGGAGGTGAGAGGGGAAGAGGG